TGCATGTAGGTTAAGTGCACCCGTGTCGTGCAGTGCCTGTGGAAGACAGAAGAGGCTGCTGGATCCCCTGGAACTGGAGTTATGGGCAGCTGTTAGCTGCCATGTGGGTGCTGGGATTCAAACCCAGGTCTTCTACAAGAACAGTCAGTGTTCTTAACCGCTGAGCAATCTCTCCAGCCCCTATTTCTAATTTTATAAAAATTTATTAATTTGATGTGTGTGGGTGTTTTGCCTGCATGTATGTAAGTGTACCCATGTGTAAGAGGGGTAGGCCAGAAGAGGGCATCAGATCCTCTGGAACTGGAGTTACAGATAGTCATTAGCTGTCTGAACCAGGGTCCTCTGCAAGAGCAGCCAGCCAGTGCTCTTAACCACGGGGCCGTCCCTCCAGCCATGGATATTCTTAAAGTGAACACAAAGATTTGAACCTCTCAATTTGTATGATCTTGTAGGGTTTTCTGAACCAAGATGTCTGGAGTCCTCTTCTGCACTTTGCCTCTACCCATGTGTGCTCAGCCTGGACCCCAGAATAAGCCAGTCCCCACCCCCCAAGGAGCCACTGCAATGGAAGGAATGGAGGGAGAGACACATCGCTCCCTCCCTCCCTCCCTCCCTGGACTAGTCTCCCAGAGGCCCTTGTGAGGAGGGTCTGTCCTTTGACTTTTCAGACCCCTCCCTGAACTTCTTAGGGGTGACCTTGTAGTTCATCTTTGAGAACTTCCCCCCCCAACTATACTGCTCCTGCCTGGCCTTCGAGGACGTGCAACCTGGGTAGGCTAGTCAGAAGTTGCCCTGGGTTTCTATGCAGATTCTGGAGAGAAAGGGTGTCAGGGTAGGACCAGGAGGGACTGCTAGCCACACCTTCTGCCCCTCAGGTGGACAGGGCTCTGCTCTACATCATAGCCAGGCATGCCCTGAAGCCTGAAGCTGCCCTCCTGAGAAGTGCAGGTTCATCAGTCCTGCATCTCTCCCTCCCAGCTGCCAGGGCCAGTGCACAGAGAGGTGAAGACTAGCCCCTGCTCTTGGCAAAAACTGCTAGAACACAGCAGCTGCCATCCTCCCCAGAGCCCCGCCACCCCCTCCTGATCCCATTAATTGGGCCACATCTGGTGATTATAGTCTCCCATCTCATCCTTCACGTCCCCCCACCGTCCGCCTCAGGCTGCAGCCAATCAGGCCTATGCACCCTTCCCTTCCCCAGGGCTCCCGAGCTGTGTCCTTTTAGACCTGCCTGGGAAGCCCCACATGTGCATTTGCTATCTCTGGCCACAGTGCACCCCAGATTTTAGACTCTGGTTCTTCTCCAGCCCCTCTCCCTCCACTGTCTCCACACCAGCACACAGTGCCAGGTGTGAACTTTGGGGCCATACCAGGGCTGTGGGAGCTGACCTATGGTAGAAATTACCCAGAAGCCCTCCATCCCTACCCCCAGGCACTCACAGCCTAGGGAAGTTCTTCTCCAGCCCCTCTCCCTCCACTGTCTCCACACCAGCACACAGTGCCAGGTGTGAACTTTGGGGCCATACCAGGGCTGTGGGAGCTGACCTATGGTAGAAATTACCCAGAAGCCCTCCATCCCTACCCCCAGGCACTCACAGCCTAGGGAAGAGGAAGGCGGGGACACAGGGCGTTGCAACATAAAGATGTGGCCAGTGTCTCGCTTCAGTACAGCCCATAATAG